CCCTCCAGCAGGACTGAAACAGGACAGGTGATTGCCAGGCTGTCATTCAGTACAGTGAAAAAGCAGCTCTTTGCTTTGGCTCCCAGCCTGACTGACACAGGTTTGAAAGGGGATGAGTGAGGAAAAACTGAGATGGTTGCTAAAATAGAAGGGCAGGCTCTCCAGACATCACACATGCTAGGGCAACATATACTTCTTATGCATGAGACTGCACATTGTTTGCCCAGACTTTGCCTATTGGCTCACCACTGAGGCCTTAAATATTCCACCCAAGGCCACATTTTAGGCACAGACAATGCTGGCCTACATTTTAGTGACCTCTGAAATTTAGTGTGCTTTTGCAGACTTTAGCAGAGCCACAATCAGAACAGGATGTGGCTTTTGGCATGGAAAACAGAGCAAGACAAGAGCAGAAGCCTACGCAAACTCAAACAGATTAAAATCTTCCTACAGAAGGATTTAGTTGCCATAGGTTCACAGTTTTCGGTTCACATTTTCTTGCTTCAGCCAGGGCTCACACCACTGACAGCTGTGAATATAAATTCTTACTTTGCTGGAATTACTGTCCATGGAGTCAATCAGCAAGGAATGCTCATGACCCGGAGTCATATCAATGCTAGCGCTTAAGGAAGACGTCCACTCGCTTGACTGCAACCTGCCAGAAAAAGCATGAAATTAAATTCCATTTCTTATTATGTCCCACACCAATAGGGTGGACAAACTTAGGAAAGAAGGCATTTCTTCAAAAAGCAATCAACCACTGCAAGCAAGCCATGGCCTTACTTGACAAGAACTGGTTTCATTTGTACAACTGTAGTGCGTCCTGAGTGCAAGCTGAGCAGGACTGGGTGATCCAACTAGCGGTAGTCCTCATCCTCCTTCCTTCCTCCACCAGGAGGCTGGTGAAGCTGTAATGGAGTGGGCATATTGTGCTCTCCATACAAGCTACACCTGCTCCGTGCCGGCCGCTTCCTGTCACCATAGTTATAGCCATAGTAAAAGAGAAAAGTAAAACTTCCATACTGCATGATGTGAAATTACCATTCCTCTCCAGTAGAGAGGACAATTCAGCTGCTGGCAGTGGAGTCCTTTTTAACCTAATTTATATCCTGTCAGTTCAAAACTCGTGATTTCTTTCTTTTGCCTTTGAGGAATTTTGAACTCTTCAACTTAACGGAGGTCTCTGTTCTACATGGGGGCTTTCAAGTGAAATTTCATAGTGTGTGACTTGAAAGAAGTCAGGGCAGATGATTTAACTGTGTATTTTAAATTCTATGAAATTACTTTGGAAGCCAGCTCTGATCCAAGTAGTGCTGGTTCTTCTTAACCATTTTCTATTGATAGATATTCAAGATTGATAAGATGCTATTAAAGGATGAAATGTGGAAGCAGCACTGTCAACTCTTCAGGCTAGCATTAGTGAGTGAACTGAAATCACTACAGTTGTGGGAGGCTTTCACAGACTTTAAGGCTAGAAGGGGCTGCTATTGTCTGAGCTGTGTAGCAATTACCAGGGAACTTCATCCAGAATTCTTCATACAGACATTTTTTTTTTTTTTACTGAATCAGCATGTCTGTTAGAAGACATGGTTTTCATGCAAAAGACTCCAATAGTGAGGTTTGTTTTGACTACCAGGAAATGTACAGCAAAAGTGCCTATAATCAAGTTACATGATAAAACCTATGAAGAGAAACAGGCATTTCTAACGTGTGACTCACTACATCCTAATCCTAACATCTAGCCTAGGTCAGCCTCCTTTTCTCTGCTGACTGCAAGAGCATCTGTCAAGTAACCTGAGATACACAGTGCATTGGGTACAAATGGCAAGGTTTCAGCAACATGTACTTGCAAGAGAGCACTGTGTGGCAGGTGCCAGTCACAGCTGGATTGGTTAAGGGATGGTGCCTCACTGTGTGCCAGAATTACAACCAGGGAAGTACTGGATGCCTCGGCTCAAACACATTTAACAAGAAGTGGTAGCTGCTAGGGGAACGAAGGAATGAGTCATAAACAAGGAGCATCACTGCAAGCATTACTTGTAGTAAAAAATGAGCATCTCCATAAACAAGGAGAAATCACTGCCTAGTGACTCCAGGCTCCTACATGGCTCTTTTCCCCACCCAAGAGACAGAGTGTAACATGCAGTGCAAACAACGGGACTGGATACTGGGGGAGAATGGGTGTCTAGACTCAAGGTGAGCCTGGGAAAGGTGAGAAGAAGTGTTTACCCTAAATGTTTAATTATTTCTTAATACCCAAAATAATTAAAAACTTATATTAATGGGCAATACATTAAAATTGACTGACATTCTTCAAGTCAGGACTGTTTTGACCATGACAGACTCACTGAGGAGACAAATCCCCTGGAAGTACAAAACTCCTCTTCCGCCTTCACCCAATTCCCAGTCTCTAAATCATATTTTCCAGTAGTTAATTTAAGTCACTGAGAAAACTGGCATCTCATTTCCAGTCATAATTTGTCTTACTGTCTAGTCAATTGTCTCATTCTTTGTCTGCAATTGAAGGATAGCCTGAACACCAGGAAACACTTTTTTACTGTATGGGTGACTAAGCACTGGCAGAGGCTGCCCAAGGAGGTTGTGAGATCTTCCTCCTTGGAGTTATTCAAAAGCCATCTGGACATGGTCCCAGGCAATTGACTCTGGGTAGCCCTGCTTGAGCTGGGGCATCGAACCAGATGACTTCCAGAGGTCCCTTCCAACCTCAACCATTCTGTGATAGACATGGTATAGTCATTTCTATGCCCCAGCGACATTTGACAAAAGGTCAAGTGTGGATGAACACAAAGCTAGGATCACGATACTTCTATGGTGATACTGCCTGTTTGGTCAAGCTTCCTCACCTCCTGATCTGATCCTGTGCTTCAGAGAGTGCTTCCTCTACAGCAAGACGACGGTCCCGTTCTTCCTCCAGCTGCTCCTCTAAATACCTCAGATCCTGCTTTGTGTTGTTATGTAAACGTTCTGTTTCAGACAACCTGTCAGAAAATAACCAAGCATATGCCAAAGAAGGGCTTATTCATGGACTATTCTGTTTGTATTGCATTCGCTGATGCAGTGTGTGATCACACTCCAATTCCCTTCCACTTCACACAGGAGTTATCTTTCATCAACATATTAAATTATTTGGAAAGCAAGAGAGCAGATACATCTGTTGAGGATTCTGTGCCACATAAGGAAGGAGTTCCTTGGCTTTATCATTCATGGCCCCGCTTTCTGAAAACTATTTTGAAAGGCTATGAGGAATCATGTGCTAGATCTTAGTTCCAGAAAGTTACAATGAATCATGTGCTGGTTCTTAATTCCAGACACTCTCAGGCTAGCATCCTTGAGTCCACGACCACTGATACATTTTAGCAGTGACTGAGGACTCTGTCCATCAGATCAAAGATATTAGTTTGGCTGGTGACCAGAATTGCTGCTGCATGTTTTCTCTTTGTTTTTTGAAGTTCAGTCCAAAGAGATAAGTAATGGCAGCTGTCAAGTGCATAGAACAGATCCTCCACCTCCACAAGGTCCTAGCATGGAACTAAGTTTTTTCCAACACTCTGACAAAGAGTAGTAGAAATAGGCTCATCACTAGCCCAAAGACTTCCATCAGGACTAACATCCCCATCCCGTTTTCTCAGGCTTTCTTTACCTCAGCTGCAACTCCTGAAGTTCTGGTGTGTAACTGCCTCTCTGAGGCTCATTCTTTTCCTGGGGTGCTCCTGGAGCAGCATCTGTTGCAAACAACTCCTGAAAGCAAGCATGAATGTATGGCAGACAGAGTGAATGAAGGTCATAAAAAGTATCTACAATGCTGCACAGACAGTGGACCCATCTGCAATATGCTTTTTCCTTCCTTGCACCAAGACCACCCTTACCATGCCCTTGTCTGCAGACTGCAGCTCCTGGAGCTGTCTCTCAAGCTCCAAGCAACGGTTCAGAACCTCACTATAGTGTTGATGGTTTTCACAGATGTTCCGATTGCTACCGCGCAGTTGGAGGGCGAGGGCATTTTTCTCCTCAAAGACCTGAGATAGCTGAGAAGAGAACAACATTATTAAGTAAAGAACTCATATTTTTGTGAACGCAAAATTGTTCTCTGTGTAACTGAGGATAAGAATTCTATTGAGAACACGGGAACTGCCACACTGCATATTACCAAGGTCCAAAGACCAGTGATAATCTCCAACAGTAGCTTGTGGCTAAGGTTTCCAGAACAGGATTCCCAAAACATCAACATGACGTAAAGAATTAACATACTTCCAAAACAAGATTTCTGCAGTGCTGAGATTGACCTAAAACTTTCAGAAAAGTCATCCACAAATTATGATTTTATATTCCTGCTTTCCCCTTGAATGAAACTTGCTTTCTGAAGATTGCTAAATTCTGAGTCTTCCACTTCACAGTGGGAATTGGACTGTTTGTGATTCTGCATTGAACTGTCGAAATGTTTTCAAGACCACAGGCAGCACTGAAGATCACGAGCATGCCTTCCAAAGGAGGGACTTCCCTCAGGAATCTAGAAAGCAGGAGCTAGAAAGTACTCCCTACAACAGAAATGCAATCTGGAAACAACTTTCTTCACACAATCTCACTTTCTGGTCCCTTCATCTGTCTCCCTCTCTCCTTTCCCTTCTGTCTCCCTCCTCTCCATCCTTTCCCCATTGCCCTCCACCCCACTTATGTCCCCTCTTTCCTCGCCTCTCTCTCGTCCTCTGTCCTCTTCTCTCCTCCCTCCTTCTTTCTCCCTCTGGGTACTTTAGAAAAAGGGCACAAAAAGTTGCTGATTCAGAGAATACTGTCACTGATCCTCATGAATGTGATCTATATATGGCCGGGAATACCTCTTGGCTGGAGGGCAGGAGGGCTCTGCGGAGGGACCGGCACAGCCTGGATCCATGGGCCGAGGCCGGTTGTGTGAGGGTCCACCAGGCCGAGTGCCGGGTCCTGCCCTTGGGTCACCCCAACCCCGGCAGTGCCACGGGCGGAGGGGGAATGGCTGGAAAGTGCCCGTTGGGAAAGGGCTTGGGGGGGCTGGTGGGTAGTGGTCGAGGCTGAGCCAGCGTGTGCCTGGGTGGCCGAGAAGGCCAACGGTGTCCTGGCCTGGGTCAGCCCTGGTGCGGCCAGTAGGATGAGGGAAGTGATCTTCCACTCGTACTTGGCACTGGTGAGGCTGTACCTCAAACACTGTTCAATTTTGGGCCCCTCACTACCAGACAGACATTGAGGTGCTGGAGCATGTCCAGAGAAGGGCAATGAAGCCAGTGAAGAGTCTGGAGAATGAGTCTTAGGGGGAGCGGCTGAGGGACCTGACGCTGTTCAGCTGGAGAAGAGAAGGCTGAGGGGAGACCTTCTCGCTCTCTGCAACTCCCTGACAGGAGGGGGTAGCCAGAGGGGGTCGGTCTCTGCTCCCATGTAACAAGCGATAAGACAAGAGGAAACGGCCTCAAGTTGCACCAGGGGAGGTTTAGATTGGATATTAGGAAAAATTTCTTCACCCAAAGGGTTATCAAGCATTGGAACACGCTGCCCAGGACAGTAGTGAGTTACCATCCCTGGAGGCGTTTAAAAGAAGTGTAGACGTAGCACTGAGGGACATGGCTTGGTGGTGGACTTGGCAGTGTTAACGGTTGGACTCTGGTCTTTTCCAACACAAATTACTCTAAAATGGATAGAGAAATGTCAAGGAGTCCAGGAAAAGGCTCCTGAGATAATTGAGGCATTGGAGCAGATGATGCCTGTCCTAGCCGGGTTACTTTACCCTGCTGAAAAGGAAGCTAAAGGGTCATCTTACAACAGCTTACAATTATATTAAAGGAAGTCATAAAGCCTAAAGCCTAAGTCATAAAGCCTAAGTCTCTTTGATAGTAGCACAAAATATAACAAGGGCCCATAGTCACAGACTGTGGTTTGGAAGAGTCAGACTAGACATCAAGAAAAACATTTGCATTAGAAGTGTAGAGCAGCATTGCACAAAAGGCCCAGAGAGGTTCTGGAATCTCTAGTCTTTCACCCCTCAGCTAGGTGGTCATAGCTGACCTAATCTAATGTTGGTCACAGTGCTGTTTTGAGCAGCAGAAGGATGTATTAGATCATCTTCAGAAGTCTCTTCTAACAGATTTTGTGTTAATTCACTAAATGCCCACAAGGATGGAAAGATTCATTACTGATGAAGCTGAAGGAGCTAGGTCTCTTTAGCTTGGAGAAGAGCTGAGGGGTGACCTCATAAATGTTTATAAATACGTCAAGGGGGATTATCAGGAGGACGGAGCCAGGCTCCTTTCAGCGGCGTTGAGTGACAGGACAAGGAGTAATGGGTACAAGCTGGAACACAGGAGGTTCCATAAAAATATTAGAAAAAACTTTTTCCCTGTGAGGGTGACAGAGCACTGGAACAGGCTGCCCAGGGAGGTTGTGGAGTCTCCTTCTTCGGAGACATTCAAAACCTGCCTGGACGTGTTCCTGTGCGATCTACTGCAGATGATCCTGCTCTGGGGGAGGGGGGGTGCTGGGCTAGATGATCTTTTGAGGCCCCTTCCAACCCCTGACATTCTGTGATTCTGTGATTCTGATCTCTGAGTCCTATTCAAGCCTACCCTCTCCCTACCATTCCTCATCCCAGTCTCTGCAAGCAAGTATGATGTAATCAGTACCTTGCTGTTTAACTGCTGAATCCTGAGCTCTTTTTGGTGCAGTTCTTTCAGGCTGTCACTTAGCTGAGCCTGGAGATGTTTTGTCTCAGTTTCTACGCTTGTAAAGTCCCCTCTCAGAACTTCTGAAGACATCTGCCAGGGAAAGAACAATGAAAAAGACACTGCACATGTGACAACCCACTCTTGTACTAGTCCTTTCTGTTTAGTATTCTAAGATCAAAGACCAACATTATTCCTAGGCCTGGAACTTGATCTGCTCAAACAAAACACAAAATGATGAATGAACAGAAATATCCTAAAAGTCATCTGAAAATCTAAGCAATTAGGAAACATCACTGAACTTGCATGTCATATGGGTCCTTCTCAAAAGTCGTCTTAAAGGTATCTACAATAAAGGAAGGAAGAAAAAGCATATGAATAAGAACAAAAATAGGCAGAAAGAAGCAATTCTAAATTAGTAGTGGTGTTCTGTACGTTTACGTTTATGGAGGAAAAAAGCTTATGAAAGCCCTGGATGGGAAAGGAACACATGGCATAAGCAAACTAGCTTATGCAATTTGTGAACTCTGCAATTACCGTTACAACCAATATCTTCAAAAGGTAACTGGTAAAAAAAAAAAAAGTGGGAACATTACCACTACATTTGGTAATGTCTGAAAATCAACTATATAATAATACTATTTTTCAGTCGTATTATGGCTAAATCTCCCATTGCCTCCTATGGGTTATAATTTAGTTTGTCTGTTTGGATTTTTTAAGGGCAACACCACCCTTTCCCCCCCCTCAATAACATGTACCTATTTATAGAGTTTTCTAAAGATTTTCAGTGATCTAGGTTGCGTTGTTATAGTCCTTGGAGGCTAGAGCACAAAATCCAATACTGCAGTCTGTATGACCTGAATACATGCTGCTTTGGCTGAATTTCAAGCCTCACATTTCCATGCAATAAACAATCTGCGTATTCCCACCCACCTTCGTTTGGTACTGCTCCTCTGCAATCTGAGACTTGCTCAGGGGTAGTCTCCTTTCTTCAGTCATCTTTTGTAAATAGCTCAGTTGCTCGTCTTTTTCTGCTATGACCATCAGGTAGTGCTCCTTTGTGCTGCTGTTCTGTTTTTCCCAGGTGCATTTCTCTTGTCTGCCCAGTACCACACAAAAGGAAATTATCAGGAAGTTACCAGTATCACCTGATGTCCAGGTACCCAGCTCAGAATGAGCTGAGGATGAGTTAATTTCCTATCATTACCCCATGCCAGAAAAAGAGTTTTATAACTAAACCAAAACAAAACAACCCACTTAAGTAAAGGAACCTTAAAAGGAGGTTTAAGGAAGTGTTCTGTGTCTGGCTCAACACTGCAGATTGTTCAGTGCTCACACTTCTGGTATTCCTGGACATTATCTTGATCTCGCTGTACTGAGTCAACGACTGTCAAGCAAGTCATTGACCATGCCACTTGTCATCATAACAAATATGCACCGGAACTGTAACACTGATCCCAACAGGCAAACTTGAGGCTTTAGCTTCATTTACATTGTAGAAGCTAGACAGGAAAAAAATCTCATTTTCTTTTATCAGGAGATAAATAAAATTTCCAAGCTGCCTCAAACTTTATGAGATCTGAAGTGTCAGTCTGAGGGTCAGACTGGGGGTAGGGGGAAGGGGGAGGTGCACTATACGTTTTTTTATCACTTTGCACAAAGATGAGCCATATATCTTTCTGCAAAAAAGCAACACCCCTTTCACTCCAGGGTCAGTCACTCTTAGATGGATCTCCGAAGTACCTGAAAGGATTTTCTTCCTCATTTTTAGAATAGACCGTATTTGCCTGACTAGTTTTAGTCCAGTTGGAGACAAAAATTTAACACACTTGAATCACAGACTTTTTTTAAAAACAGAAGACACAAAGCAAGTGAAACAAAGAATTTGACAGTCATATAAAATGAATATAATTTCTACACAATTAAATCAGTGGGAGAATAAAAGGTGTTCATCATCAGCTTGGAATGGAGAGTTCTGTAACTATATGCATAAGCTCCAATACAATAAACAGCCTATTTTTCCTCTCAAGGAGATGATACTGGCCACCACCGGATGAAGGAAATAAAAGTTAAAAGGTCATTGATCTACTTCACACAGGCATTTCTTTCCAATGTGTTGGGCTGTAACTTATCACCCTAAGTCTGAGCCAAAAGCTGAACAAGGCAAGCACTCCTGAACAGGCGAAGATGATTCAGTGACAGTTGACACAGGTAGGGCTGAAGTTCTCACTACATTCTTTGCCTTCTGCCCACAATTGCTCTTTGAACGAAAGAAACAGCACATTTGCATCTCTGAGGCAGTGAGAAAACAGGGAATTCTTACCTAAGCTGCTGGAGCTCCTGCTGGTAGAAAATATTTTCTTGCTTCAGCTGTTCTTGGAGACGGTGCTGTTTATCTATGTCTTGCTGATATTCCTGCAGTTGTGCTTTTAAGCGAGAATTTTCAGCTGATTCTACCCCAACTAGTATGTATTGCTGCTGCAGATTCTTCAGCTCTGTTACCTTTAATTAAAGGGAAATATCAGAGTATGTGACAACTGAGCAGGCAGTTAGATTTATTACTTGTAAGTGTTTAAGAGCACTTCTCACTGTGGCATCTGGAGGAAAAAAAGTCACATTCAGTTGACAGAGAAACTAGAATCCGAATCAGTGATTACAGCAGTCTACTAAAAACTTCTCAGAACCACCACCCCTCCATCCCCGGAGAAACTTATTGTTAACAAAAATAGTGAGTTTTGAGACCTTCCATGAATATTTAACACATATTAATAAAAAAAACCCAACTCAGATTACAGTATTAATTCCCTTAGTCAGAGGAAGACAAAGTGAGACAGAAGGAGCTGGTCAAGAGTAAAACCTGAAGTTAGCATTTACTGTGAAACGAGGAAATAAGGAACTAAAATCCTTTTGCCAGTGTACTCAGACTGGAATTAGAAATCAGTTGTCATTACACATGCATCACTGCAATCAGTTTTTGAAGACGTGACTGACTCTGGAGACAGGGAAGTACTTACTGAGTCAGGAGATCCCTCTACTGAGGATCTATCTCAGTATTAGCAGCGCTACACATATACAAGTTCAACCGAACAGCAGTAGAGGAGACAAATCTACAAATAACAGATATAAAGTGGACAAGAAGGAAGATGCATTTAAGACACTATGACCAAGTCTGTTGTGACTTAGTGGAAGGGAGAACTAAGACAGACAGTGGAAAAAGATTGCAAAAGTCTTTCTGACTAGCAACTAGAATTCTGAAACTTGCTGAGCCGCATTGTGTTAGACTATACAAACACAGACACACCAAGTATACAAGCAAGGATGTCAAAATGAAGCTGCAGTGCCTTATACATGTTTTGACAATCAGCTGCCAAAAGGAGAAACAGACCCAAGTCTTTGCTCTAGTGTTTTCTAGAAATCTAAGACAAATTAAATGCACGAGCTTCCACAGATGTGGAATAAAAGCAGGTTAACAGGGAACCCCTATCTTATGTCTGATTCAATTATTTTGAATCAAGCTAACAAGAGAAACCACCCTGCAAAGTTAACAACAAAATCACAGCTTCCAGATGTCAGAGAAGATAACGCAGGTAGCACATATTAAATACTTGGGATCTGATGGAGTGTGTCCACAAGTGCTAAGGTCATTGGGAGGCAACACAATTACCTTCGAAAGGTCATGGTGACTGGGATAGGTTCCTGAAAACTGCAAGAAAGCAAATGTCATCCCTACATCCTACAAGGAGGAAGAACTGGGGAACTGCAGCCTAGTCAGCCTCATCTCTATCCCTGGTGATGGAATAACTAAATTTGGAAACCATTTCCAGATATGTGAGAAAACAGGTTGGCCAGAATAGTGGAATATCCACCAATGGAGATATTAAAAAATCGACTGGACATTGTCTTGGGCAACCTATTCCAGCTGCTCTTGTTTGAGCAGGGGTCTGGACTAGATGACCCCCAGAAGTCCCTTCCAACCTCAACCACTCTGTGATTTTGTGAAGACAACGATCTATGTTTCACATTACAAATACCGGATCTCAGTGGGCTGAATTCTAAGATCTGAAGATCCAAATCTCCTACGAGGCTTTAAGTAAGAGCAGGAAGACAGAAAAAGGACTTACTACTCTGTCTCTGTCATTCTGCAAGGAGGACAGTGCTTTCTTAAGACTCTGCACTTCTGAAGGACTGGTGAAGGTGCTCCCTTCTGCTTTTTGTTTCACTTCTTCAATCTTCTGTGTTTTTCCCAGTTCATCCAGCAGACGGTCTCGCTCATCCTGTAGGCTTGCCATAGCCTTGGAGAAAGATTTGACTTGGTTGGAAGAGCTTTCCAGTTCTGAAGACAAATGGAGAAGCTCATCATCTTTGGCTCTGAGCTTCTGATTAAGTTTCTCAATCTCAGCCAAGAGACCTCTTTCATCAGTGGCTTTCTGCAGTTCTGTCAGCTCAGACCTCACTGTATCTCGGTCCCTGGCAGTGGAATACTGCTCCTCTTGTAGCTGAACTACCTGTTTCTGAAGATTCTGCACCAGACTCTTTTGTCCCTCTAAGTCTGCAGAGTATTTCTGCTTCAAAGCATGAAGCTCTTCATTGGCCTGGTCCCGGCTATCCTGGAGAGAGCTCATGGACTTCCCAAAAGACTGTATTTGAGCTCTGAGATCTTTGTTTTCATCTGTGACTGCAAGAAATTTCTGTTCCATTTCCATCAAGTCCCGTGCCAACTCTGCTACTCTCTCTTCCGCTGTTTCTGTTTCATTCCTCATTATCCCTGCATCATGATGTAGATGCTTCAATTCCTTTCGAAGCCTGTCTTCAGCCTCTCCCACTTTCTTGGCTGCATCCCTTTGAACACATACTAGTTCCCCCTCAAGTTCTGTTATCCTTTTCTCTGAGAGGGAAAGCTTATGACTCAGTTCTTGTGCCTCTTTCTCTCGGGCCTTTAGTTGTGCTTGACACTCCAAGATAGGACCCCCCTCACATAAGGCTGTCATCTCACCCTGCACCTGAGACAGAGAGGACATAAGGGTTTCCATCTCTTGAGACATACTGACTTTATCCTCTCTCAAGGTTTCTATGCATTTCCTGAGATCATCTTGAGCATGCTTGGACTCTTTCAGCTGTGCTTCCATGATCGCCTTCTCGTTTTCCAGAGTTTGGATCCGCTGAAGCTGTGTTTTGAGAAGTTGTTTCTGTTGGGAGTCCTTTATTGAAATCACTTGGTTCAGGTCTTCTCTACACCGCACCAACTCTGCACTGAGTTTGGCATTCTCAGAGTTGAGGTCATCCATCTGGCTATGAAAACTCCTAATTTCTTCCTTGAGCTTATTGTTTTCAGTGGCAGCCTCTTGAATGAGCTGGTCTTTTTCCAAGATTATAACAAGATGACGTTCCTCAAGTTGCTTGTAGTCTCTCAGTATGCGGTCTCTGTCATCTTGCAAAGATGACATTGACTTGGTGAAGGAGTCCAGTTGTGCCTTCTGCTGCTTACTTTCTTCTCTGCTTATCTTCATCTTTTCAGTGAGACTATCAAGTTTGTCAAGAAATTTGTTCTTCTCATTTTCCAAGGCTTTTTTTCCTTCTTCCTCTTTACTTAGTCTATGCTCCAACTCTTTCATCTCTTCAGTATGTTGTTGCTGCAGTTCAGCCAGAGCAGCCATAACTGCTTCTTCCTTGGCAGACAGCAAACTAATGATCTTTTGATCCTTGGCGCTAGTTTCTTCATGCAGTTTATTTGTTAGGTCCTTGGAAGCTTGAAGATCAGCCTCAAGCTGTTGACAGCTTAATTTAAAATTCTGGATACTGGTCTCTTGTTGCTTGACCATACACCCCAGCTCTTCTTTGACCAGTTCACATTTGGTGAGGGAATTCTGTAAGTCAGCAAGTTGGCCTCTCAGGTTGCTGATTTCTGACTCCAGTTTCTGCTGTTCATTCTGAGACTTGCTATACAGCTTCTGAGAGCCTTCAAGCTGAGTCAAAAGGTCCTTTTTTTCCTCTTGCAACATTTCACATGTTTTTTGATGGTGCTGAATCTCCTTCCTGGATTCAGACTCCTGGTCTTTCTTGTTGCATTCCAGCCTGAAAACAGAGAAGAAAAGGTCAGTCGCAAATCAACGAATTATCTCAGTATCCAAACCCACAGTAATAGTTTTCATTGATAATACTAATTTAGAAAACCCACAAAATTAGTTTTACTTTAAGAAAGCAAGTTGGAAATATTCAGATGATTAGTTTTCCCTTAATTTAAAATTCAAGGCATCTTTGAAAGTCCTGACTGCACCACTGTCCAAAGGGAGTGGTGCTGGGGGAATAATATTTAAAAGTTGTCCAGTAAGATTAAAGGTTAAACATTGAATGTTAGCATATCATTTTCATTAAAATACTTCTCTTATCCATTGTAGCTAACAAACAAGTGAAAAAAACCAAAGAAATCGCTGTTCTGATACATTTGATGTTCACTTTATGTTCCAGCATGCAAAGATTGAACATTTTGATCACAAATTTTATAGAACAATTTTACTCATGTAAGAACAGTTTGGTTTTGCATTTTGGAATGTTTTGCATTTTGGTATGTTTCCATAGCTCCATCTTCCCTTCAAAATCTATTTTGGGATTAAACTGTAACTATGTATCCCAACACTTTCTTGACCTGACAAATTTAATCTCTGAATGCAACAACTCTGTGCAAAAGAATCTACTTCAAATTTCAGATTAATAAAGACTCTAGAGGGTACTCAGATCGCTATTGCTTGTCAAAGAGAATAGATTTAACACAGGTACCCTAACAATGAAAAGAAGGAACATTTTATAGTGCTAATCTCCTGGTATCCTTGTGCAGATAACAGTAACTCCCGACAACATAACTCCAAACCTCTTTTCTATCCAAACCTAAGTGATACAGAAGATGAGCCTAATATTATGGCTTCATTAGGAAGACTAATTTTGCTCTCTGTCTTGGGCATTAATTTTGCAAATCATTTCACATTTATAATATTTACATACTCAAAATTCTTTCTTTCTGGTATACAGTAAAACGAAAGGAATCCTAACTCACCTCTGGCTGCTGTGTTGTCAAAAGGAAATACAAGAATACTAGCCGAGTTATTATCACCTTCTTTACCTGTATATACGATTCTGAAGTTCTTCCACATGCATGGTCATTTGCTTCATCTGGTCCTTCAGCACAACACAAGTTTCCTCTTTTGAACGTATTTCTTTCTCCTTCTTTTGAATAGTTTCAGTGAATTTCTTCTCCCATGTTTTTGATTCATCTATCACTCTATCCCTGTCATCCTGAAGGGAAGACATGCTCCTGGTGAAGGCTGCAAGCTGGGCTAGTGTTTTGGTTAGGCTGCCTTCCAATTGCTTGGCTTCTTGATCCTTTGTCTTCAAGGAGTCTTGAAGGTCACCAACAGTTGTTTCCATACAGCCTTTCTCCCTCTGCAAAGTTGCCAGCTTTTCTTCCATGTTTTTAATTTCCTTTGAATGCTTGTCTTTTTCCTGTTCCAGTCTTCTCTCAAAGTCCTCATCTTTTTTCTTCATTTGAATTCTGATACTCTCTTTGTTTGCCTGCAACTCTTCTTTCACTTTGACACTCTCTGCTAGAACCCTTGCTGCCTCACTCTGGGTGTCATCCAATATTACTCTGCAGAGAGCAAGTTCTGCTTGGGCTTTCTTGGTGTCTTCGACAGCTTTAGCTAAAGACTCTTTGGCTGCTTCTACCTCTTTCTGAGACTCACTCTGCAGAAATTCCAGAGCTTTAACAGTTCTTTCTAAACTACTATTCTTCTCCTGGCTTTTAATACAGTCCTTTTGCAGCTGCTTAATCTCCTGCTGTTTTTGTTTCAGCAGTTCCTGAAGCTCCTTTACATGTGTGCTGCTGTCTCCCCTCCAATTGCATTTTAGCTTTTCTACAAATTCCTTTTGCTTTTCTGAATTTGCTTCACTTTTCTCCTTTGCCATCTGACATTTCTCCTCCTCCAGTTCATGCATTATTTTCTGCAAACTCTGAAGCTCCTGTTTCAGTTGCTCATTTTTGATCTGGAAGTCTGTTGCATCTTGCTGATAGTTTCCAATAATGCCATTAAGTTCTGCCAGCTGATTCATAAGCCTTTCTTCCAAATCATCTTTCTCAGCCTCTAGGATTTCCTTCAGTTCTGTCATCCTGACGAGGTCGTCTTTGGTTTTTTGGATTGTTTGTTCCATCTTTGCTACTGTGCCCTGAAGAGCGTTCAATTCATGGACTTTCTCTTCCATTTGGGTCTCCAAAGCCCTTTTCTCACCTGCTAAAGTCTCAACATGCATGCGGATGTCACCCAGCTGTTGCTCCGAAGCCTTCCTATTATCTTCTAGTTCTGTGATTCGCTCTGTGAGCTCAGCTATCTGCTGTATGTAGGTACCAAGATCTTCACAAGGACTACTACCTTCAAATGCTTTTTGTTCCAGCTGTGCAGTAGGAGAATCTGGTCTAAAACTTCTGTCCATCTGATTTTCAGTCCTCTCCATTGGTGGTGATGTGGCAATGGCCTGATTTGTTTCTTGCCCTCTTGTCTTCTGAGGAACATCCTTGTTTACCAGTTCTCTGCTTTCTTTCAGCTTAGATTCCGTTAACTGCAAATAGTACTTTAATTCTGTAATCTCTTGAGCAAGAGACTCCTTTTCAGCCATTACTGTCGCAAGTTGAGTAGAAAGAGACTGGTAGTCCTTCCTAGAGCTCTCCAAATCTTTCAGACTAGCATTTTTAAAGGTATCTCCAGTCCTGTGTTGCTCCTCGTCTGTAAAATGCATCTCTGCTCTAAGCTTTTCATTCTCCTCCTCCAGTTCCAGGATCTTTTGTTGCTTTGATTTTGCAAATTTCCTCATTTTCTCCTTCATTCCATCAATTTCCTGTCCAGCTTCCTGCAACTGCTTATCTGTTTCTTCTTTTTTCGCTTCAACACTTTTCAGCTTAATGAATATTTCCTGTTTTTCCTGCCTAACAGTTTCCAAAACACGCTGAATCCGCTCAGCCTCATTACTCACATTCTCATATGACTGCAGGAGAGTTTCATATTCTTTCTGAAGCTCCCTGTATTTCTCATGCCACTCAGAATTCTCAGTAGCTTGAAGGCATTTCAAGGATTCTATTTCCTTCTCCAGCTTCTCCTTCTCCAGAACAACTGTATCTAGAGTAAACGTCAGGTTTTTACAGTATCCATCCAGATTCTGATTTTCTGCAAGTACTTTATCAACTTCTGCAATAAGTTTTTCTCGCTCTTCAGTGAGGTCCGCTAACTTTTCCGTTAAAGTATCTGTTTCTTTAACATGGCCACATATTTGGCTTTCCGTATTTGTCAACCTGAAAGAAAGATTTTCAATAGTGCTTTTAGCATTAGCCAGCTCCTCTTTTAGAGATTTACTCTCCTTTAGTGCTTCTTTTCTAGAGATAAGTGCAGCTTGCAACTTTCTCTGCATTTGATTCTTCTGCTTAGCTGCTTCTGCACTGTCATCTTGCTTCTCCTGAATTTCAAGCAACTCTGTCTGCAGTCGCCTGCTTTGTTCCTCATGTATGTGAGCTTGAGTTTCCAAGTGACTTTGTAGTCTCTTGATTGAGTCTTCTTTTTCCAGCAACTGTGCCTGCACGTTATTTAGAGCTTCACTTTTCTCCCTTAACTGCAAGTTAAGAAATTCAATTTCTTCATCCTTTTGGTGCGTAAGCATTTTCAGGTCTTCCAGACTGCTGTCTCTAGAAATTTTTGCCTGACTCTCCTCCAATTCTGTCTGAAGACTTGTTGCCTTACTTTCAGCTTGGTCAGAGGTTCTCTTCAGCTCTTCTATCTCCAGAAACAATTGTGCTATGTGCTCTTGCAAGTGAACAACTAATTCTGATTTGCAAGCAAGTTCACTTTGCGTATGGCTAATGTTATACTCCAATTCCTTTTTCTCCATCTGCAATTTTTCAAGTTCCTTCTTAAATACTTCCCCAGAAACTTCTGCAACTTGTACAAGCTTGTTATTTCCAGCACCTTCTGCTTCTATGCATGAAGAATCCAAGCCACCATGATTCCCAAGAACATTCTTTGTTGATCCTTTCTGTTCTCGGAGTTGTCTAAGCTGAGCTTGGATGCTCTCCATCTCCTTGCTTTGGTTATCAAATTTTTCTTGTAGGATGTTGTAATCATCTTTCTGCTGTTTCAGTTGCTCTCTGTGATGTCTGTCTTTTTCGTGAGCTTTTTTTATAGTGTCTTTGCGAGATACCAGCGCTTCCTGAAGTTTTTTTTGAAGTTGTTCTTTTTCTTGTTCAAGACTTGAAATCCTCTCTTTCAGAGCAGACTTTTGGTTTTCTTCAAGATTTGTAACTGTTGAACTATTTTTTTCATTTTCTACATAATCTTTTGGGCTTCTATTGGTTTCAGTTACTTCATCAGCAATTGTCTGACTTTCCATGTTTTCATCTTTAATTGAAACAATGTTTGTCTTACCTTGCAAGCTTTGCCTCAATTCCTCAATCACTACCTGCAATTGTGCTTCAATAGTTTCTTTATGCAGCAGGTCCTTCCGGATGCTTTGCAACTCAAATTCTTTTTCAGAAAGCAGCTGAATTAGATACTCCTCGCTAGGCTGGCCTTCAGGAATCATTTCTCTGCTTACCACACTTGTCACGTTTTCTTCCCCTTCTGCTTCTTGAGCCCCTGAGGTTTCTGTTTTGTGGTCTCCTCTCAATTGTACTAATTCATTCTCTAATTTGCTAACCTTCTTCAGAAGCTCCTTCCTGTTAACAAGTGCTGCTTGCAGTTTCCGCTTTACTTGCTCGTTTTCTTTTTTCAGAAGCTCAAGTTTACTTATTAATATCTCACTTTCTTTACATGCTGCCTCTGTGTCATACTGCTGCTCCGATGTGCCACATTCCAGATATGTATCTTTTGCTTCTATATTTTGGTCTTTTTCTTCCTGGGCTTTTAATAGTAGACTTGTTTGTTCCCTAAGACTCCTCAGCTCATTTCCTAGAGAAAATTGACCATTTTCTCAGACATGCTGACACTGATCTCAGTAATCTGTTGGTCCTTCTCCAGCAAGGTTTGTTGCAGGCTCTCTATAGACCTGGTGTGTTCAGCAACAAGCTGTTCTAGACTTGCTGCTTCATGTCCCTTTGAGGTTAAGTTTTGGGAAAGCTCTTCTATCTCAGCTGCATTCTTCCTCAGAAGTTCTTCTAGATCAAGTACTTCACATTCCTTCCTCTCAATCTGGCTTCTCAGATCTTTTAGCTGCATGTCCTGGTCAGAAAGCTGAAGTTGCGCTTCATCCAAGTCTTTTTGCAAAGCTTCAATTTTTATCTCCTTGGATTTAAATTCATTTTTAAGGCTCTGGATTTGTTCTCTCAGCAGACTGTTCTGATTGTCTGACAGTCTCTGCTTTTCCGAAAGAGCTAGATTTTCCTCGAGTTGCTTCACTTGCTCTTTCAGTTCTGTTACAGTAGAAAGTTCCTTCATCTGACACAGGAGCTCATCTCGTTCTTCAGTCAAAACACAAAATGCACTGTCAGAATCTTCTAGTTTTGTTCTGTATTCCTCAGCCAATTGGCTTAGCCTATTTATTTCTGCATCTTTTCCTCCTAGATCTTTCTTATAGGATTCTTCTGATTTCTGCAGAATTACTTGCAGTTCTGTAATTTGGTTTTGTAACTTCATCAGTTCTTGAGACTGAGATGTGCCAGGTTCTGGATCTGCTGTAGCAACTTTCTGCATTGCCTCCATCTCCCTTCTGCAGGGGACAGCGCTACTGCTCAACTCATTTTGTGTATCTGAAGCTGTTTGCTCTTCCCTCTCAAGAAACTGTATCTGGGAATTGTCTTCCAGCTGGTTAGCTGTTTCTCCTGTTTGGTTACTTGTAGAACTTTGGCTTTTTGGGCTCTTGAGCTGCATTTTCAGAAAAGTTATTTCTTCCTGGGCTTCTTTCAGTTCCAGAAGCAAAACTGACAGCTCTTTCTGTTTCTCTGTAGTAAGATATTCTAGAATTCCAGGTGGACTACTTTCCTCAGTAAACTGCTCATTTCCATTGGGAAACCCATCTCTTCTTGCCTAAAAGAAAATAATAGGTTTCAATTTTCCTTTGAATCCTGTGAAAGGGCCACTTTTGGAAGTATCTGCCTTACACATTTTCTAGTTTAAAGGACACCCTTTCTAGAGGTGGCTATTGCAATAAGGTCATTCCAGCTCATTTCAGCTTCTACTGAACTTCCTACTCCTTTATTTCCCATTCTCTCTTGGTTACAAGATAGCATGAAGCTGAAGTGTTTCAGTTCTCCTGTGATTCTCAAAAACTTTCCAGTGTACTTATCCAGTCACATTTTCCTGGCATCCTATCCATAGTCACTGAATGAGGAGATTTTGTCCTCTATTCTACATGTCCATTTAACATGGCAAAGAAACAGTGTAGAAGCCCATATTCCAGTCTGTGTCCATCTCCAGAGTAAAAGCACTAGATAAAGCATCTGAACCTAAGTGCTTGGCTTTTTACAAAGGTCTTAAGGTTTCCTCCCACCCTCAATAACAGATTACAGAAGAAAAGGAGTCACAAATCCTTCCCAGAAAGCACAAATCAGTGGCCCACCAATAAGTCAACATCTTGCATTGTAAAGGCTGTGCATTCATCAGTCTGCAGGGCAGAAATAATTTATGAGGAACCATTAAAGGAGAGCTATCTCTTAAAGCTTGTTGCGGGGTTGCAACAACTACTTTAAGTTATGGGATGTTAAAAAAGCAACCCTTTAGGGCTTTTAAGCTAAAGTTTTCATACCCATAGATGCATACACTTTTGAGAGGAAAAAGGTTCTGCAATAAAATTGTACCTCACAGAGTACCAAAGTGTCGTCAAAAGGCTTCTGCACTTCAGAATTCACCAGCTCTCCCGGCACACCTAGTGATAAAAGGTGCACTTGTAATCATGAGCATAACAAGTTACATGTAAAGTCAGTAGGTAAGTGGAGATAAAATACATGGGACAGAAGCTTCTCTAGTTTGGAAGGCAAGAAAGAAAAAAAAAGTTTGAGACTATGCATTGCACCCAGACATCCCCAATAGTTCTGCACATGCAAAATCTCATGCATTTGCTGGATGCTGGCATCACCTAAGTGTATAGTCCATCTGACTTCCACAGAAGAATGAAGAGGCAAAGAGACAAATGAACTAGGTAACAGGTTGTTTTGGTTCTGTTTGTTTGTTTGGGTTTTTTAATAATTCGGGAGTGGTGGCAGTGGCGGTAATTCCAGACAGGAACCCAATTCTTCATCTTAATTCTCTTCTGTGTCTTACGAATCAGCCTTGCATCTACAAACACACTCTCTTTCAAACACTTCTCTTCTTCTCATCTTAGGAACCACTTCTTTCTTTTCCTGATATATCCTATCCATATCACATTAAACTGTTCTCTTCTACCTTGTGTGCATCTTTTCCATCTCCTAAACATATTTAGATTTTGACCTCAAGACTCCTCCTTCCAATTCACCTTAGATTCATCCCTGAAACTTCTCAAATTTCCACAATTTTCTTGTCACATGCCTTATTCTCTGTCCTCACCTGTAGAAAGAGAAGAGCAGTCTGCATAAGAGGCTGGAGCTTCCAGAGTCTGTGAGTCTTGCAATTTCACCTCAGGTCCAACGTTCTTATTCTATTTGTTGGAGAAAAAATACTTAGTTTTGAGCCATGATCTTTGCATTAGGAGATAGCTATCTTAGCTGCCTGCTGCACTGCCAAGTTTTAAGTAAAAATTATCAGTCCCAAGTTCAGGTGCAACTCACGCCTAATGTAAATAAATTATAAAAAAAGGGAGAGAGGAGTTTTGATGTTAAGCACGAGACTAAGACATATCTCAGCAGATTAGGATATCAATGAATGCAACAATTCTATTAACTTCCTTCCATCTTTGCTGCTTTAAAGGGACTAACTATAAATTCACTGAACCACCCAAAAAGGGAAGGTGAAGAATCGTGTGTTTGTTACTGTATACCTGACTACTCCGGCTGATAAAAAACCTGCAGTCTTCCCAGGAAACGTACACTTGGCTCCACTATGCAGACAAACAAACCACCCTGCAATAATCTATTAACTGCTATATGTCTACTGCTTCTCTGTCAGTTCAGACCCTGAGCAATGAAGAAGATGGAACCCACTGAGAAGAGACAGATCTTGCTATTTCACAGACACAAACTCTTTTTGCCCACACAAAGACACTTAATAAAGTCTGGAAAATTGGGTAGTTTATTGTTGACACCCATACAAGAACTAAGACCTCATCTACTAATTTCTTCATTTTGATAAGTCCAGGTATGAGTTAACATGCACCTAAAATGAATGGCAATATTTCTGGCTAGTTCCCAACACGCACTGTCTTTCACCACAACAAACAATTGGCACTGTTAGTATTACTTTGTGGGGAAAAGGTCTGAAACGGAGTAAAAAGATCTTCTGAGTGAGAACTAAGAAATGTTTCTCCAAAAAAAGGCTATGTCCTCCCACCCCCAAAAAGCAAGTAAAAAAAGCCCCAACCCAACAATGGAGACTGAAAACAAATGAAATATTCAGAATTAACATTTGCTATAACTCTCTAGGATGTAGAGTGCAAAGCACTAACAGGTCACACGATCATAAAAAAATGATCTCCAGCCTCAGGAGGCCCCAGGCATTGAAATGGAATGTATGGCATGCATCAAAATAACTTGTGCACATCACCCAAACCGCTGAACTGAGTTTGGAGTCACACATATCTCGGCCTCAAGACATGGGTCAGATGCACAAATAGCATGATATATTTGTCCAAGTGTAAATATTTACATGCAAGCTATTTAGTTACTCTCTTTTTATAATTAAGATGTTGAAATGAACAATTCCAGGATTTGATTTTTCGACTTGTTTTCAGCATCCATCTTGGTCCAGGTGAATCATATGCTAAAGAACCTGCTATCTCACTGCTTATACAGGAGCTCTAGAAAAGAGCTTGTGTGTATGTATGTACCCGTTGATCCACTAGCTTACACCTCAACCACAGGCAGCTGGAATACAAGGGTCTGAAGTCAAGCGGGACGAGCTGACTCAAAATGCCTTCTCAAGTTCCAACATAAGTCTCAAATGTTAACTTTTGCCCAAATACTTGATATGAATATATATATACTACAAACTCTCTCTGTTGGAGAGGAATATATTAGATAAAACACAACATCGTCTTCTTCCTTCTGCTGGCAGGCTGGAACAGAGTAAATCAGTCTGGAAGAGCCCAGACCTTGCTCTAAGCTAACAAACAATTCCACAACAAATTCTTAGTGCAGATATGCAGAGGCAGCCATCTCCATCCTCTTGCTGACAAAGTCTAAGGCAAAGAAGCAGGTATCCAATCCTGCATCATTCTAACTAACAGATTGACTGCAACTGTAGCTGCAGCTCCTCACAGTGGAAGAGTCCACTTGTCTTCCACTTAATAAAGAGAAATCAGAGTTCCTTCAGTCAGTCTGCCAGACCCCCACCGGGGCAGTGGGAATGGATAAGGTTGCTTTAAAAGGTGTCTAATAACAACAGCTGAGCTTTTGGAATTGTGTTTCCTGTATTTTCTGGTCTCAGACTAGCCTACGGTTTTGCTGAAGAACTAACTCACAAGAGGCAGAAAATAGCACGAATACAGAGTGGTTGGATGAAGGACACAAGAATTCCGAACAGTCAGCAAAAGGAAATATAGCTTGATAAGAACACAGTATAAGCAGTATTTGAAAGCTATTTCTGTCTTTCATCATTAATCCAGTTAATAATAACCTTCCAAAGAGGATTATTTTAAAAAGGCCATAACAGCTTAGCTATTTTAAGGCCAGTCCTTGACCTATTTTAGTTTTAGCTTATTTTGACTGCTTAATCATTACCTGCTTTGCATTTTCTGCAATCTGCTGAGGCACCTGGAGGATGACTTGCAAGTGTGGTATTCCTGAAAAATTCAGACAGAAACAATTTATTTGAAAATTAGAACTGATTTAGAGAGTAACAGGATTCCAGGAGCTTTACAGAATGGGGCACACGGGTGCTGGCCAAGTTTTAAGAAACATTTTTATAAAGAAGGGGAAACAAAGAACTACAGTAACAAAATGTTTCCAATTTCATTTGGATAAAAATAAAATGAAGAATTGTTATGATTAGAGAAGAATAGAACACTCAAAGGCCACAGTCCAAGTCAAGGCAGGTACCAAGAATTCAGCTGCTATTTGGCTCAGGCTATTTTTACACTTACCTTTCTGTAAATTGGCTCTAATGTCTCCCATAAGAGCCTCACAGAGAAGCCATTGATGTATGGGCTGGTGTGACACCTAGTTGGAGGCCAACAACTTAGCAGTGTACCCCAGCTGTAAATACTGGATCCAGCAGAACACGCCCTCAGCAAGCTTGCAGATG